TTCGGCAACTCGTTGATCCCGTAGCGCCTGAGAATATCCTCGATATTCTTGGCAACTTCCCGTCGCGAGCACACCCCTTCGAGGGCATGCTGGAGATCCGACTCATAACCACTGCGCAAGTCAAACGCGCGACTGAACTCCGCTTCCACCAGCTTCATCTGCAGCGAGGGGAGATGCGTAGGCGACGTGCTTGACGACGAGGCAGCAGCCTGCCCTTCAGGCTGACTAGGTGGCCCCCCCGCGCCGCCCGACAAGTTCGCGGCGCTCGAAGCCGCCTGCGGGGCCGGCGGCGGTGGCGGAAATCCACCGGCCTGGAGCGGCTGCGCGACCTGCGGGGGCAACGAGTGGCAGAACTTGGCCTCCATCGCCTTCGCCGGGATCTCACCCTGACGTCGCAGCGCTGCCTCCTTCTCGTTAGCGGCCTTCTCCTCTAGAAACTGGCGATGCTCATCATTATGCTTGGAAAGGTGCTGCTGCGCCCTGTCCAAGCGAGCCTGGCGCCCACCGTCCACTGGCGAACTGGATATGTCAGGACGGCGAAGGCGCGGGCTGTCACGATCGTCATCTCGCACCTTTGGTGGTCAACGCGGCTGGGGCCGCGAGGATGGCCCGCGCGGGCCCCGCCATGGTTCCCGCGCCTGGCGGGCGCCTTGCTTGCCTTTGCCGCCGGCCCCCATCTTCCCGAGAAGACGGTCCTGATACTGGCGGTGCCGAAGCCAACCTCGCAGAGACTCCCGAGCCGAGCGCGCAGCAGCGGAATTGGGCAATGAGCAAGATTAGCCCCGCAAAGTCCACGGCGGATAAGCCAGCAAGTGCAACTCCAGAAGAAACTCCAGGAGCCCCAGACTCGATGCCAATCACGACAACCCAAGACTCCGATACCTGGCCTACTTGCCCACGAGGAGGCCCCGTAGAGTCCCGAACGACATCGGCAGAGCACCTGGCCAGGGAAGTGCGCGAGACTTCGGCCATTCTACTCGGGTAGGAGAGCCCCCCAAACCTGCGCGCAGCCACCCGCGATTCGGGTTCTTATGCGCGGAAGTCAAGTTATACCCTTGAACTCTAAGTGATAGATCCAACCATTCGAACAGGCCATTAGGTTCATCATCAGACTTAAGCACCACACTGAGCGGCTCCGCGACAACTTGTTCCACGTACTTCTGGACGCAATCACAACAGTGAGTAACGCTCCCAAACGGAGTATCATCCATAGACCGACTCCAGTTGATATCTTCCCGCGGGCCCCCGGGGAAAAGAAAGCCTCGGCCCCGATGTCGATCATGGGCGCGCCTATCGATGAGTTCTTCAGCCCCCAAGCGAACCGGCGCAGTGGCGGAATACATAACTCCACGCATAGCCGCCCCCGCCATTCCCGCGACTGCGTCCCCGAGCATAGCTAAGGTAAGTCTAGAGGCAGCCGCAAGAGTCCTACGTAATTGAGCTAATGATAAAGGCCACCATCCTCTACCATCGCGCCTAGCTCGGCCCCCATGTTCAGCAGGCAAACGCTTCCCCCGTCGAACTAGGGGCCTCGAGGTCCCGAACTTGGTGGGATGGGCGGGCTCGAGGAGGCCCCATTCTGGCAAAATGAAATCAGCTGCACACGCTTCAAAGGCCTGGTCCACATCCGTCGTGAAAACATGTAAGCCTGGACGCATGCTCTTTACACTCCTGGCGCACCGCGGGCCACGAGCCTATCCCCAAGCCCGAAGAAGTATTTTGCACGTGCTGGCACGCGCAGCTAATGTCAAAAAGCTCGCGTGACTCGTCCGCGACTTCCACCGCGGACCGCGCTCCTCGGGCAGCGACCTTCCAGCCCGCGGCGAAAGGCGCGCCGCGCATATCTAGAATGCGCCTCCAATGACTATGTCCTGGCTTGGTAGATGCGATACGTCCATCACCTGCATGACATCTACTTTTGATAAGCGGGAGAAGACGTGGCGGCCCCAGGGGGCGCCCTGGACGTGCAGCATGTCGGCGAAGAAAGCCTGGAAGTCCAAGCGACGCATTGGCATATCCCCACTGAGCCACATTCGCAACTGTTAAACCACGTCGCATCGCCCACTGCGGATCCTGAGGAATCGCTTGTTATAATGATAAACCAATTTCTGGATGCTTGATGGCCCGCACTTTTGAAGCGCCCCGATCATCGCCCACGCGTGCGCGATCGCTGTGTTGATGCTGCCGAAAGAGACGCTCATGTTGATCCTAAACCGGCGGCGGCGGTGCTGGCCGTTGATGCTGACCACCTGCTTGCTGCCAACACCCCATGCCATAGTCGCGAACAGGTGCAGGTAAACGCATTGACGGTGCCCAGCGAGACCATGCTGCCCGACACTGGCGCCACGCGACCGTTCCCCTCGGCCACTTCGGAAAGCGCCGCGGACCCACAACGGCACGTAGGCTCGGTGATGTAGCCAGCCGACCGGTGGCAGACAATGGTAACTGCGGCATACTGGATGAGAATGTCCCAACCGCTTTTTTGGAATTGATAGCGTCTACCCATCGCTCACGACTGCCAACCATGACGCGGAGCTTAGACAGAAGAAGATGACGAGCGGGTTGACACCGAATGCGGCGAACAGCACGACGGCACAATGTTTTTTACTGCTGCAATATTGTCTTTCATGTCGTAGGGAATGACCAATGGTGCAGCTTGAAATGGCGGTAACTTCCAACCCCGCAATAACCGCTCCGAGAACATGCGTGCTGCCGTTTGTCGCGCACCTCCTCGGGCGAACTTGGGAACTTGTTTGCCCGCGAAGTAGAAGAACCCTGCGACCTGGTACTTCGGCATGCTGCTTGGGAACCGAACGTGAGGCCGATGCGATGCACAGAAAGCCAAGAACAGGGTGAGCGACTTCCCGTCAACTAAATTCAGAGGCTCGATGAGAATACAAAGCTGCAAACGGACCGATAAGGTCCGAGCCTGGAATTACATCTGCTGCCTTGGACACGATACGGGATTTACCTGCTTGCACTGCTTGCTGGAAAAGCGGTTGAGCCCATATAGATGTGATACCTCAGGGACCTCGAATCCGCGGTGGAGGGCGGCGCCGACGTCCTTTGGATGTGAGGCCGACCTTGATATCATGAAACTTGTCCGGTAGAAATTGATCTGCACGATTGCTTTTGGGTTCCGCGAAACGAATAGGAACTGATTCCAATGAGAAAGCCCGAGCTTCATCTTCGCGCAAGGTAATTGGAAGAAATACCAAGCTGCCAAGAGATTTGCGTAAGCCTGAATACCGAGATCGCCGTCCGTCACGAGACTGCGGCCGTAGAAATGCACGGAGGTGCTCCCGAAGCCGAGCTGGAAGACCTGGCGTCGGACACTGCCGCGTGACGTTAGCTTTGCCCATATACGACGACGTAGTAGTCCACAGCACATGCACGGCTGACTTCGTGACGCCTGAGCTGACTCCCAAATCTAACATCTCGTGAATCCACTGCTGGTCGATATCCAAACTTCCCCGGTGTGCAGCGGCTGGGAGACTTCTGAAAACTCGACCTGACCACCGTGGGAGACGCTTCCGTTGAACAGCAACTCGTAGCCTAGCAACACCACTGCACACCAACAAGTGATACGCCATCGTGGCCACTTTGGGACATGTGATGCCTTGTTGAAGGTGGGCGGGAAACTGATGCCGAATACCATGATGCACGGCTAAGCCCAATGACGGTAGACCTCCTGCTTGAAGACAGTCCACTGCCCACGCACGGACACGTAAAAGACCTGGTACTGACGGTTGAACAATATCGGAAATCACTTGCTGTACGTTGTGCTCGGCCAACACGCCTGCTTTTGAGGGACGGGGCCACTCCACGCCCGAAGAAGAATGAAGGGTTGAATCACGACACGCCGTCGCTCGTGGGAGCCAGCTCGATGTCATGGATTGGTATGTCTCACGGGCGACGGATTCAGCGTCAGCTGAAATCAAGAGAAACTTGTTTCTGAGCGGAATCGGACACGACGTGACGATACCCTCAGCTTGCCTCAGCCCCAAGACAGTGCCCAAGACTCCGCCCAAGACTGAGACCCATGAAGGTGCTGTACTTGGTCTGCCTGGGTCCCCGTGCTTTCAAGAGTGTGTGTGTGTGTGCGTGTGTGTGCGCGTGTGCGTGTGCGTGTGCGTGTGCGTGTGCGCGTGCGCGTGTGTGTGTGTGTGTGTGTGTGTGTGTGTGTGCGTGTGCGTGTGCGTGTGCGTGTGCGTGTGTGTGTGCGTGTGCGTGTGCGTGTGCGTGTGCGTGTGCGTGTGCGTGTGCGTGTGCGTGTGCGTGTGCGTGTGCGTGTGCGTGTGCGTGTGCGTGTGCGTGTGTGCGTGTGCGTGTGCGTGTGCGTGTGCGTGTGCGTGTGCGTGTGCGTGTGCGTGTGCGTGTGCGTGTGCGTGTGCGTGTGCGTGCGCGTGCGTGTGCGTGCGCGTGTGTGTGTGCGTGTGTGTGTGTGTGTGTGTGTGTGTGTGTGTGTGTGTGTGTGTGTGTGTGTGTGTGTGTGTGTGTGTGTGTGTGTGTGTGTGTGTGTGTGTGTGTGTGTGTGTGTGTGTGTGTGTGGGGGGGCGTTGTGTGTGTGTGTGTGTGTGTGTGTGTGTGTGTGTGTGGGGGGGGGGGGGGGGGGCGTGCGTTCGTGCGTGCGTGCGTCTGTGTGTATGTGTATGTGTGTGTTTGCGTGTGTGTGGTGGAGGGGGGGTCTGTGGCGAGGGGGGTCTGTGGCGAGTTGGGCCCAACAAGAGGTCAGGTCAGGATAATTCATGGCGGGACGCGTCCGTAGCTTACGGCAAATGCAAAGGAAGGGCAAGAAGGGAAGAGGAAGCGGCCGCAGCACGGACGGAGAGCTCTCAGACCATTTAAATCTTCCAGCGCCGCCAGAGGTCAGGCTCATGATCTCGACGACGGCAGATAGCAGAAGAGCGAAGGACACGCCAGAAGGCACAGGTCAAAGGCAGAGCCGCAAAGCCCCGGTAGAATATGAGTGGTGCCTGAAACCCAAAATTTGTTGACGTCTCATTTTTACGGTTGCCACCTCCCGCCGCCTCCCAACGGCAGACCCGCCGCCATACTGCTTCGGCCGGCTCCCGCCCCAAAGGCGAGATGCGCCGCAGGCGAGGCCCGCTCCGGAATGCACCCGCGCGTCGGGGATCGCTGGAGTTTCTTCGAGGACGAGGGCGGCCACAAACGAGCTCCGAATCGGACGGGAGTGCGCCAAGTGGCTCTGGGAAGAAAAACACACACAACAAAAAAAAATCCGGAGGCCAAAGTCCGCAGCGGGCAGGCCCGAGGCGCTGAAGCGTGGCTTTGGAGCACGGCCAGAGCGAGTGCCGGGAGCATGCCAGGCGGACCTGTCGCGCAGTCGCGCGGAGCGCCTAGAGCGCTCTGCCGAAAGCGCGCGACCCCACCGCACTCCGTCCGGAGGCTCTCACGGACAAGAAAGCGCTCGTCGCGCCGGCGCTTCCGCTGACTCTGCCACGCGGACCGCCGGCGCGATCGCATTCCCCGCTCGGCTCACTCTGCGCCGGAAACTGGTCCGTGCGAAAATGTGCGCGCGAGTGCACGCATCTCGTGGGTGAGCCATCTGCGCCTGCAGGCTGCCATTTGGACCCCTCGGGGGTGGTCAGGCCTGTGCGCGCAAAGCCTACGATGCAAGGCGGGGATGCATTCCCATATCCGCCGCCGGGGGGATCCGACGTCCAGGGACCCCAGCGGGCGGTGAATGCGGATAGCTTCTGGCCCCAGGGCACCGGAAGCAATCCATGTCCACCGCCTGCCGAGGTCCCCGAAGATCGATCCAGATGGCGGTGGTCATGGATAAGGCCTCGCTTCAGATACAATTCCTCCAGAGCGTCAGGGCGAAGGGGGGGAGGAGGAGAAGAAGGCCGCGGAGGAGGCTCAGGCCCAGGGCGCGGCAGCGCTCGGCGGTGCAGCCCGCTCGCTCCGCGCCGTGGCCGGGCGAGGGGTCGGAAGTGACGCCGGCAGGAGTCGCGACGGCAAGCGAAGGGGGGGGGAAATGTTGCGGGCTGATGGTTACAGAAAGGTCTGGGGGCGGACGAGCAAAGCTTGCTATGGCCACGAGCCCCGACCTCCGAGCACGACCAGGCACGACGCGCGCGCAACCCTGGGAAGTGGCACTGGCAAGGGGGGCTTAGGGGAGGGGGGAGGGGGCGATGACCACAATGGGGCCCCCGACTCCTACTGGTCGCTGGCCCGGGGCAATACTTGCCCCCCCCCCTTGGACCCGCTGTGGGGGTTGGGCACGTGCTGTCGGAATGGGTGGAGGGGGGTTGGAGGAAGAGGAGGAGAATGAGGAGGGGGAGGAGGAGAAGGAGGAGGTGGAGGGGGGGGATGGATAAGTTCCGTCGAGAGGTTAGTCGCCCACCGCTCCATCAATATCCCACCCAGAGAAGGGACGCCTTCTGCAGCCGCACGCCGTCGCTGGAGGGTGGAGCCCAACAAGCTGCGGCAGGCCAGGCTGTGCACACGCTTGGCGGCGCGCACAATGGGGTATGGGGGAGGGGGCTTCTTAGAAGCAGGCTGCTCCTTAGAAGGCGCCAGCCCTACATCTGCAGAGAAGGCCCGCGCCTTCTAAGAAGCAACGGTCTCTAAGGAGCCTTCCCCCCTCCCCCTACCCGCCTCTGCGCGTGGGTGACAAACAGTGGTGAGGCGAACCCGCCGAGCGGGCCCCAGCTTGCAGGAGCTAAGCCACCTTCGCGCCCTTTGCCATGCTCACCGGCTGGACGCTGAGGGAGGGCGTCGACACGTCTGCCTTGCCATCTCGACCACCAGGCTTGTCCACATGCGGTGAGACGTAGAGCATGTCGTAGTCGCAGTGCTGCTGGACGGTGTGGCGATCGAAGCACCATAGCAGGGACTCCCGCAGGGTGGACGCGGAGAGCGGCAGGAACACGACGAAGCTGCAGACGGTGCGCACCACCTCGGGCAGCTCGCGCTCGGTGGACAGGACGATGATTGGCATATTACCGTACTTCTCGAGCTTCGTCATCGTGCCAAGGAAGCTCTCGATCTCAAACTCGCTCTTAGACAGATCCAGCAGCAGTGCCGAGTGATGCTCCCTGGCGTCGTACAGTCGCTGCCACAGCTCGGCGGTGGACTTCACCCAACGGAGCCTCGTCTCGGTCGGACTCACCAATGCCTTCCCGACAGACCTCCAAACGGGCTTCTGGTCCGTGAAGACTAGGATGGATTTCCCGCACATGGCCTTCTCGAAAGCCTTCGCCACGTAGCGGAGACGCTCCTTCGCCTTGCGCGCAGCGGCCTCCTCGGATGAAGAGAAATCGGCTCAAGCACAGACTTCTCGAAGTCCGCCCGGGTCTCTTGGATAAGCGCTTTAACCCCTTCTTTGGCCAGCGGAGCGCGCCCGTGGAGCGCGCCAGGAGCGGCGCCGGAGGCACCGCCAAGGGGGGGGGGGGGGGGCAAGCGCCGATCCGAGAAATCCGCACGGAAATCCAAAAAGTTCGTGTGTGTGTGTGTATGTGTGTGTGTGTGTGTGTGTGTGCGTGCGTGTGTGCGTGTGTGTGTGTGTGTGCGTGTGTGTCGCTCGTACTCAAGGAGGGTCCACACGGGCGCCGCAGAGACCTACGGAGCCTCCCGAGTCCTTGTGAGCTCGACGAGAGCGAGTGCAGCACGTCAAATTTCGTAAAGATAGCCGTCCCACTCCTCATCAGCGGGCGGCGGAACACTAACACGGGCAGTGTTGTAGATATGATAAGCCATCACCATCGCCTCAACACACAGCATCGATGGGGCTCCATTAAGACCTATTCGCGCTCTGAGGCAACAGGGAGGCAGCGAGCCCTGGGGATAGGCGAGGCCCCAGAGAACATCAGACTGGAGGTAGTGAGGGAAGGTATCGAGGGCAGGGGCGAGCGGGGGCTCACGGCACCGAAATTTGCATGGGTGTACGCCGTCCTGCACGTGCAGCCGTGCCGAGGTCAGCCACGCCCCTGAGATTGTCTTCAGGACGGCACTCTGCCATGCTGGTGCCACCCTCTTTAGGAGCTCGCACAGAGGGGGCCAACGTTCACGGGCAGAGGCGGCGCCCACACCGGCGTCGCTAGCAACCTCGAGCCCCCACGCCCTCATCCTACGCATGATTAGGAGATGGAGGGAGTCAGGGTGGAGGGAAGAGCGCAGCGCAGCATGCGATGTGTTCTGGACACGCACTCGCCCGCCCGACACCGAAGCCTGCGCTTCGGCCTGTCGGAGAGCTGCCCAGGCGGGGCCAGCATGGCGAGCGAGCGCGCGATCACTCACGAAGCCATCGTGCGCTTCGGCGAGCCCCATGACGATGGGCTTCGCCCTCCAGAAAGAGGGGGGGGGACTGCCCCAGGCCGACGGCGAGCAGCGTCGCGTTGTCGAGCTGGTCGCGGAGCCATGCGAAGAGCTGCTGCCAATTCGAAACCGTCGCGTGGGCCGCGCGCATCATGGCCGCCAGACCTGCCGCCCTCATCGAGCGTATGCGAAGGCCCGTCGCCCACGCGCCGATGGCGAGGTAGTCGCTCCCCGCCGTGGACTGGGGCGGGACGCGCCAGAACCTGGCGATTGCCCGCGCCTCCCTGGTGAGCAGCATCCTCGGCGTCATCGCGAGCTGCTGCAGGTAGCTGAGGACGGGGAGGACGCGCTGGTTGTAGAGCCGTGCTGCCATCGACGGCGAGGCTCCGCTCCGCGCGAGGTCCACGACCCGCGAGACCCACTTCGCTCCCGCCTTCATCCAGATGTCGCGCTCCGTTGCGCCAGGGCCGACCACGAAGCCAAGGTGCTCGCCCTTGTCCTGGATCAGCATAGTTGCCCAGGATGGGATGAGGCGGTGCAGCCAGTCCCTGGGGTCGGCGATCGCCGAGTCGTCCAGCTCGCCGTCGGGCGGGATCAGCACGCACTTGTGACGCTTCAGATGGAGGCCCGCCAGCACCTTCGCCGCCTGGAATGCCCGCCAGAGCCCCGTCAACAGTTGTCGCCGTCCTAGAACAGCTCCCACATCATCAGCGCGCACTCCCAAGGCCGAGAATCCGCTCTCGGTGTACCTCATCACGTGGTGGATGAACGGGTTCATGACGATGGCCCACAGCGAGCCCGATGCAGGACACCCCTGAGCGAGCCCGCAGGAGACGCACGTGAAGTGCACCAGCGCGCCCGCCAGCTCCACATAGGCCGTGGGGAGCCAGTGGAGCGCGAGCACCGCGTAGAGCAGCCCGCCCTCGAAACCAGAGGAGATGAGCACGGCAGCGGCCCGCTCCACCCTCAGCGATGGGAAGGCGTCGCCGAAGCCGAAGAGCGCCATCGAGGGCTTCTCGTTCGGGTGGATGCCCGCCGCGCGGGCCTTCGTGTCCAGGAGGGTGATGGCATCGATGAAGTTGCGGCCCCGCAGGAATCCCCGCTGGGGCGCGGGGGAAGCCTTCTCCACGGGGCCCTTCAGACGTGCGTTCGTAGCTGCTGCCGCCAGCTTGCAGTCTGCGTTCTCGAGCGCAATCGCTCGCGCGGCGCTGGCCGCGCGGCATGCGCCATCCACCAGGTCGTCCTCCATCGAGCCCTTGGGGAGGAAGGCCATCAGGTGATCGTTCCGGTCGACAGGCGGGGCCAGGCCCATGACGACCTCAATGACTACGTCCTCGATCGCCCCCAGAGCCTCGGGGCAGCTCCTCCATGGGGCATGCGGGAGGCCATCGGGCCCAGGCGCAGAGTCCCTGGCCCGCGCCGCCGCACGCACCAGAGCCGACTTGTCGGGAGGTAGGATACCGACGAGGTCCAGCTTAGGAGCAAGCTCGGCGATATACCTGCCGGCAAGGAGCTTCCAGTTGGCGACCCGTGGCTTGGCCTGGAGGATCGGTGCCCAGTGCTCGCGCAGCGCCTCCAGCATGCCCTCGTGCTCGGCGGCGACACGGTAGCCCTCGTCGTCGGGCGCCCTGACCCCCTGCAGCTTGAGCGTGCGACCGAATGGAGACCACAGAGCCTGGCGCCTCCGCAATTTGCGGCGCGCTGCGTTGACCACTTTGAACGAGGTGGGGTCGAATGCCTTGGCCTCGCGTCGCTCCAGTTCCGCAGCACGAGCCTCGAAGACCATCTGCTGCTCCTGAGCGGAGTCGCGGGCGAAGGGCGGGGGGTGCACGAGTGAAGCCTGCGCGCCCGAGACATAATTGCATTGAGAAGCCAGATCGCAGGGCGTCGGTAGCCTGCGCCCCAGCGCCACATCATCACGCGCGACTGCTCGAGAGAGCGAGCGGCACATCATCAACTTTGTCTCTCCCTCAGGCCGGCGAAGCCGAATATTGCGGACATATCTCGCGGCCTCCTTCATCAGCTGCTTGTGCCGTCGACGTCGTGCATACACGCTGAGAGCGCGCCAGTCGACCAGAGCACAGAGACGCTGATACTGAGCCTTGAACTCGGGATCCCTGAAGAAGTGGACGGGGACTTGGGCTGCCACTCATTTGTCACGTAGTGCGTGGGCAGCTCGCTGTCGACCTCCATCATCCTCGAGAAGACGCCCTGCCAGAACTGATCGTGATCACGCATGGCGCCGTCGCCCTGGCTGCGACGCCTGTCCACTTCGGGGGCCCTCGGGCGCATGGGGGCCTGTTTGTAGAGATTGACGTCGCCGAGAAGAAAAACCGTTACCCTCTCGGGCGCCATATCCGCCATCGTGAGATCGGAAGAGAGCTGGCGACAAAACGCTTGCCGCTCCTCGTCTGAAACGTCAAAACTGTGCACATTATAAACAATCGTGCTGCAAGTAGGTGAATTCGGGACCGCCGGGGCGCCAGGGATCCTCAGCCTCTGGATACGGCCAGGCACAATGACGTCATGCACGAACTTCGCGCGCTGCTCGGCACGGTCGCCTCAGGGTACGATGATGCACGCGCCTCCCGCCTCGACACGCGGGATCGACTCGAAGACTCGGCAGCGAACGTGCAGTCGATGAAGAGCTTGGCGTAGCTCGGCGCGGGTAGCATGTATATCCTGCACTGCCATCACCGCCCCGCGCCTCAAGTGCGATGCCAGGTGCCCCAACTTGTGCTCGCGCATCCCTCCAGCTCTGCGATCCTGGTGGAGGGGGGCGCGCGCGTTCCACGTGCCGAACGCCACTGGTACACTTGCGCCGATGCCGCGCAACCTCCAGCAGGCCAGGCGTTCGCGAAATAGACCACTGCACGCGGTCCGCCGCGCCGAAGCGCTCCTCGAACGCCTCCTTGACCCTCGTCTTGTCGAGGCCGATGTCCGTGACCATTCGGAAGTTCCATTCCAGCGTCGATGGCTCGGACGGGCTGTTGGGCACGAGGGCCCCGGTGACTGGAGAGGGCCCATGTAGATGACGCCCCGGGCGCGGTGCGCCCTCCATCTGCCGTGGCACCCCGGCGCTTTGACCACCTCGAAGAGTCTTTTCGTCTCGATCTCGCGCCGCGCCATCTGGGGGCTCTTGTCGGCGCCGACGAAGACGGCAGCGTGGCCCCCCGCAGACGTCTCGGCCTCGGATCGCCGCCATTCACCTGACGGAAGCTTGAGTTGCTTGCAGGCGCGCTGCACGTGCCGCGCAGCGATGCCCTCCGAGCCCTTGAACTGGAGCACGAAGCGTCGCCCTGGACTCTCGCCTGTGAGCTCCCATTTCTCCTCCGTGAAGCTGCCTGCCTCGAGCCGCGGCGTCATGCTCGCCTTTGCTGCCGCCAGCGCGCCGGGCTCCTTCGTCGTGGCGATGAAGATCGCTGGGTTCGGGTCTCGAGTGAAGCTGGCCCTGTCGGACACGTCGACTGCGACAGGGGCAGCCTGCTCACGCTGATGCACAATGGCCTGCATCTCAGCAATCTGCGTCCGCATCGTTCGATGTGACTTCTCCAGCGCGTCTTGGCGCGAGTCGAGATCCTTGACCCGCAACCCCATCTCCTCGTTGGCGGCCTCCTGGCGCTGAGCGAACGAGCGGACGGCCTTGGCGGTGCTCTCGCAGATGCTGCGCTCCATGCGAGCCGCAGACTCCTGGACCGAGGTCGTGACCGAGGCCGCGATGCTCGAACGGAGCTCAGCAAGTATGCCGTCGAGCTCGCCGCGCAGCACTGGAGCGCCCCTGGGCTTCCCTTCGTCCCTCGGCGAGGCGATGGAGATGGGCGGCGGCACGTCACGCTCCTTCGACCTCCGACCAGCTCGACCTCGCGCGGCCCAGGGGTCGCCACCATCCACCTGCATCGGGTCCTCGGCGTCCACATCCACAGGAGCAGGCCCACCAGCACGAGTGCCCGAGCCAGCAGGCCCTTGGCTCCTGCTGCGTTGATCGTCGTCGCCCTGCGGTGAGTGCGAGCCCGCTCTCCTCCTGCCGCCCGAACCAAAGCTTCCCGCCTTGCCAGTTCGTCGCGTGCGAGAGCCGGCAGCGCCATCAGGCATTCCCCCCGCAGGGGTGTGCCTAGAGGGGAACGTGTCTGGATGGCACGCGCCGAGGGCTGGAGCTCAGTTGGGCAGCGCGGATCTCACTAGTTGTCGGTAGCAGTGGCCTCAAAGCGCGAACCCCCTCGCGCTCAGATGTCGCCGACCGAGGCCGACTCGTCGCGGTCGTCGGGCGGTTCGTAGCCTTGAGCCAAAATGGATACGGATGTGTGTGTGTATGTGTGTGCAGCATTGTTGCTATTCTTCCTAACCGGATTGGTGATACTTTTCCTTACCGTTAGCAATTAATCGACTATTATGCACCATCATGCTATGAGCTGTGCCATTCGTATTAATATGACAATTGCCCGTCGTGTTATTCGAACTCGCACTCGAATTACTTTGGATGAGTCTCATGGTTACGATTACGAATGGTATTATGCTTAGTCGTACCCTCACTACCCAGGTGCCTCCTGATCTTCCTCTTCGTATGATGATTATTCGTACTCCTCTTTCCCTTCCACTGATGCTTCAACTTGCCCCTCTTCCTCTTCGCCGGTTCCTGGGGAGACGGCTCGCCGTCCTCGGCAGCGCCGCCCCGCCGCCCGGCGGCGCCCAGGCCGGCCGCGGAGGCGGCCTCGGACAGCGGGCGCCTGCTGTTTGAGGACCGCGCGGTGCCCTGCTCGATCCTCGGCAACACGGGCGTCGAGGCCGACCTTTCGCGAGCGGCGACCGTATCCGCATCCACGCCCTCCTCCGCCTCCGCCGCCTCTTCCTTGTCCTGCTCCTCGCTCTTTTGTTTCTCTGGGGCAAGCCATGGGGGCACACAAGCCGGTGGCGTCAGCGAGGCGGTTACCAGTAAGAGGCAACCTCAGAAAAGGACAGACAGCAGCGAGTAGCGGCCGCCCCACTAGCCGACAGACCTGTCGTCCACGGCCAGGGCGGAGTAGCCAGGATCCTCGCAGTAAAAGCATCGTCGAAAGCAAACCAACCAACCCACCTCCACCCCATACAACGTCCACCTCGTCACCGCCACTTTCTACAAGAACCGATGCCGGAAGGCAACGGCGACCTCGCAGTCAGACCTCGACTCGCATCCGCGGTCGAGGGAGTTCGAAGCTTTGGTCGAGGTCTCCAACAAGTAGAAGGACTGCAGCAACACGAGCGCTCGGTCCAGAGTTCGGACCTTCTCCTCCGCCAACCCCGCCAGCTCCGCCAACCGTCTGACAGCACGAGGTGCCAGAGGCTGATGACACACGCGACAGGCCGAACGACCAAGGTCGCGTGCAAGGCATAGTTACTCCTCGATCACCAACCCTCCTGTGATCACCGCCTCGGACGTGTCGTTCAAAAGAGCAGGCAGGAGGCCCATCGGCCAGGGTCTATGAAGCCCCAGAGCAGGCAAACTGCTTAAATCTTGGTGTTATTCAAAGTTCGAGCTGAGTATGAAACAGATGTGAAATCGCGAAACGGGCGAAGTATGAGTGCGAGTTTGCATGGATTGGAACGTTGGGAAATGTGTGCCCGGATCTGGAAATTTGACACAGTTTAAAAGTTCGCCCAGATGTGAAATTTAGCTAAACGTGTAAACAAATATTACAAGTTCGCCCTGATTGAAAAGTTTGAGGGAAGTTTGAAACAGTTCGGAAATATTCAGGTAAAGAAGTTTGGAATAAGTGCTCAAACATGTTACAAACCTATTTGAACGAATGTGCATGTTTCATTGGCTCACACTCGTACATCCGCTTCGCTGTGATCTCACACTTGTGGCATACTTCGAATATCCCGCGCCCAGTCACCCGTTTGCTGTCTTGGGGCGACGTGCGCCAGTGTCCCCTATTCTCTCCGTGAGAGGCCGAACGCCACCGGAACGAGCGAGAGAGACGCGACAGGCCGAACGGCCAGAATCGCACGTGAAGTCAGGGTTCATCCAGCTCCTCCTGCTCCTCCTCCATCAGACGGGCCCTGCAGGAGAGACGGTAGAAGTCCCTTGCTCGCCCACCGAGGCGGGCAAGAAGACGGCCAGGATCTGGCCGAGAACGGCGGACAGTTCGCTACGAGCACGTTATGAAGTTTGAGGAAGAGCTGAAGGCACACAGGTAAAACAGGCAGGAAAGAGGAGAAAGTGGGAGGAGGGAGAGACCAACGCCACTGATCCATCCCCCCGCGGCCAGCCCGCGCACCTCAGGTGATGGACAGCAACGGTGGCCACCACAAGCTAGCCTGCTGGACAGCCTGCCGGACAGCTCCAGGACAAGGCCTCATGGACCTGCGGGGCCTATCCCCTCTCCCATGAACGCGTGCGGAATAAGGCCACAAGAGATGGATAAGTGCCCACTCCAAGGGCTGGCATCAGAATGCGCGGATTTAGTCGTGTCGCTCCTCCTGCTCCTCCCTCCTCCTCCTCCTCCTCCTCCTCATCTTCCTCCTACCTTCGCTCCACATCCTCCGTTGTTCTAGGACGGTTGTCGCTTCAGCACGATGCAGCAAGAGGAAGGGCAACTGCCTCCTCCTCCTCCTTTCCCTCCTCCTCCTGCTCCTCCTCCTCCTCGTCCTGCTCCTCCGCCCCCTCCTCCTCTTCCACCTCCATTCCTTTCCCTTATAGATAACTTCTCCCTGTCGCATCCCGAGGCCGCTCGAAAGAGCGGGCGAGGTGTTTCGCCTGAGACTTCATCACCATGCATGACCCTAAACATTGGCAACAATTTCACGGATTGAGGGCGAGTCGTTCTCAAAATATGGCTCTCGCCTTAGCGCCGCGTACATTCGTTGTAGACACACACGGATTGAGGGCGGGTCGTTTTCAAAGTGTGGCTCTCGCCGTAGCCCGCGCACATTAGTCTTTAAACATGTGCAATCGTGTCACGGATTGAGGGCGGGTCGTTTTCAAACTGTGGATCTCGCCTTAGCGCCGCGCACATGGAGCTTCACATTTTGAGGGTGGCTCCCTTTCAACATGTTGCTATCGCCTCAGTGCCGCGCGCATTCGATTGAAACATTCGCAAGGGTTTGATGGTTCGCATGGTTAACAGATCAGGGACGGCGGTTCTCAACGATTTAGGATTGTCGGGCGGCAACAAGTACGTTGATTCGTGGTGTTGAAGTCCCAGGAATGGTGTTCTGGCACGATTCAGGATCACCTAGACGTAACAGTCAGGTTAATTCGCGGCGTTGAAGTCCTGAGAATGGTGTTTGGGTACGCTTTAAGGTGTTCACACGGTTATCCCCCAACAGGGTAATATCCTTGAAGAGGGATCTTAGAGGGAGGGTGTATTTCAACATCGTTGATGAGTCTTGGGTTTGTACTGGTCCTCCTCCTCCCCCTGCTCCTCGCTCCTCGTCCTCCTCCGCCTCCCCCTCCTCCTCCTCCTCGCTACACCTCGCTCCTCCGCCTCCATCTCCTCCTCGCTCATCCTTGCTCCTCCACCTCCTCCTTCTCCTCATCATCATCATCCTCCCCCTTCGGTTCACGAGCTGCGAACGTACGTATCCAAATCCGCGCCCTCGCGGTCTGGGAGCTAAATCATCTTGTCCGTTTTCGCTTTGTTTTCGTTTGCCCTCGATCTGTTTTCGTTTCCCAATTGCTGCCAAGCGAGATGTGAACGAAAATGTTCCGCGAGAGCGCCAAAACACTGTTCAGCTCGCGCCCTGGTCTGGATTCCGGGGCGCGATCCCGCGGATAGGCGGTCGCACGGATACGATGCGCGCGGGGCATCTGCGAAAAATCGCGCCGTATCCTCGAAGTTGCGGCCTGGGGGCCCGGCCCGCGAGGCCGCGGACACGGATACTTATGCTCTACGCCAACGATCCTCGGCAGCACGGGCGTCGAAGCCGATCTTGACGCGGCCATGCCTCCCACTCCTGATGGGGAGCGATGCAGTACGGTAAGAGCATCGGATGAGGAACCCTCAGATAAGGACTCCGGGGTCTGGAAGACGGTGGAACACCAATTGAGGCTTGGCCATGGATGCCACCGCCGGCCTCATCAGATAAAGGATTTTCCAATGTCTGAAGCCCCCCAGGGCACATTCCTGGACGAACGTCCTCAACGTACAAACAGACGATAAGAAACCTTGCTACAAGAAGTCTGCCGACCCCTTGTGTGTCTCCAAACGTGTGAAATTGTTCCACCCCAAAAATCACCCCACAAGGACCCCAAACCGGGATTTTGACACCCCCCCGGCCCCGGGTGGCCCTGGACTGAACTCACCCAGGGCGGTCTGGGTTCGCTGGGCTCCCTCTTGAAATGCACGACACCACTTGGCGCCTCCCAAGAAGCCGCGAGAACCCAAAGTCGCCGAAAGATCGTTCCAAGACGCCCAAAATGATCTCACAACGGCCTAAGAGGCCGCCAAGACACCCCACGAAGCCTCCAAGAGGCCCGCCAAGAAACCCCCAAGAAACCAAAATCTTGAAATTCCCTTGGGAAAACGTGCATCGTCAGCATATCCAACTTGTAAGCCTTCACGGCATTGAGAACCGCCCACGAAGCCCCCAGGACCACCCCAAGACGGCCCACGAGGCCCCCAGGAGGCCCCAATGACAACCCCAAAATCTCCAACGTGGCCCGGAAGGCGCGCTAGACGGCCCAAGAGAGCTCCAAGACGGCCCCAAGAAAGGCCCAAGCGAGGGACCACGAACCGCGAATTCAAGCGCTCTGCTCAACGAAACATTCCGGAGGACCCAAGAGGCCCCCAAGCGGCTTCAAGAGGCCCCCATGACCCATGAGGCACCCGAGAGGCCCCATGACGCAGAAAAAAAAGGCCCCCAAGACCCTTCGAAACTGCCTCGAAGAGGCCCGCGAGAATCCTCGCCACGAGATCCCAACGGACATCCCCGAGCGTGCCACACACAACCCTCAACTTTACGCATTTTTGCTCGTTTTCCTCGCCCCGGCTTCGGAATGTTGCCCGGGAGGTGGCAGACAACAGACCCTGGGCCCCATTTGGGGCTCGAACGCATTGGATGTTCGAGCCGCGTCTAGCCGCGGCGACGGGCACCCGCCGAAGGCGAGGCCTCCTTCCCCGTCTCATCCGTCATTTCCTTGTCATGTTCCTTATGTGTTTTCTCATTTTCCCTCCGCCATGCGAGAGCACGACTCAGAACGAGTGGATACGCGGAAATGAGGTCAGACTTGCAGCGGAAACACCATTCTAAACAAGCAAAAGCATGAAAACGAGGCCAGCGCAGGGTTCCTCCTTTGCCTTCTCCCTCTCCTCCTCCATCCCCATAACTCCCGTCCGGTCCTGGCCCCCCCCCCCCAGCGGCTCCGAGCATTCGCGCGCTGCCTCGAACGTTTCCGCGGGTCTCACGCGCACGCCTTGCACATCAACGTGCGTCTTTCGATGGCACGCGCGAATTGTGGTCCAACCGTGAACTTCAACTTCGGGAGTTTTTTGTGGCAGGCGCCGAAGCACTGGAACGCTTGCCGGTTGCGCGCCGCGAACCCATCGGCAATGCAATACGCCCCTACAACTTTACTTTGCCGCGTGAAGTGTTTGCTCTCTTGTTCGTCGTTGATGTGCTGCTGCCGTGCGCTGGTCCCGGAAAATACGATAACAGCAAAGAAGCAACAGGAACGATGCCGAGCGCCGTGTCATGATTCGGACAAACCTCGTGGAATGCAGTCCTGGAGGCGCAGTAGTTTATAGAGGGGTCGGCAGATGTGGCGCAAGCCTATAGAATCCACGTCCGGAGGTGACGTGCTGAGCGGCAGCGTTTTCTGCGGAGGCGATAATGCCAATGATTGCATAATTGCAACGTGTTGTGTTGTGTTACATTATTATGTCTTCCCCCCTAACACCCCCCAGGGGCCACGCCACTTCCGTCGACCCAAAGGTGGCGGACCCCTTCTGGGCTTCAAAAACATCAAAAACCGATGAGAAATCAACAAATTCGGCCTCTTTGGCCTCTTGGGGCCCCAAGAAAGTTTCAAGACGGCCCAAGATGGCCCCAAGACAGCCCAAGACGGCCTCAAGACGGCCCAAGATGGCCCCAAGAGGGCCCATGAGGCCCCCAAGAAAGTCCAAGAGGCCCCCAAGAAGACTCCCGAGAGCGCCTCCGGAGGCCAAAATCTTTGATTCCCCTATAGTTTTGGGACAATTTCAACGTTTTCGCCTTTTTCGGCTCTCAGAAGGCCATGACGGCCCAAGCAGCCTCCAAAAAGGCCCCCAAACGGCCCAAGAGGCCTCCAAGGGGGCCCCAACACGGCCCAAGAGGGCCCCGAGACGGCCAAAAAAGCCCTCAAGACGGCCCAAAAAGACCCAATACGGCCCCAGAGGACCGCAAGAGAGCCCCAATGCGGCCGCGAGAGGCTTCCAAAGTGGCCTCCGAAGTGGCCAGACGGCGTAAAAGCGCCCAAAGACGGCCCAAGACGTCCCCAAGAAGCCCCAAGAGGCTCCAAAGAGGCCCCCCAGAGGCTCAATTAGCCTGGCGAAGGACCCAACCATATGCAGTTGTGAATGCCGCAATTGTGCTGGGTGGTGGCGGACGCATGCGGGCGGTGCCACTGGGACCTTCGGTGGAGCTCCCTATGGGGCCACGAAACGCTGTACTGGGTGGGTGAGACGCGGTCAGCAAGGGCTGTGCTGCGTGGTGGCGGACGCATGCGAGCGGTGCCACTGGGACCTTCGGTGGAGCTCCCTATGGGGCCACGAAACGCTGTACTGGGTGGGTGAAACGCAGGCAGGGAGCAAGGGCTGTGCAGGGTGGTGGCGGACGCATGCGGGCGGTGCCGCTGGGACCTTTGGTGGAGCTCCCTATAGGGCTACGAAGCGCTGTTCTGGGTGGGTGAAGCGCAGGGAACAAGGGCTGTGCTGGGTGGTGGCGGACGCAAGCGGGCAGTGCCACTGGGACCTTTGGTGGAGCCCCCTATGGGGCCACGAAACGTGCGAGGGGTGTGCCAGAATGGGGTGTGGAACCGCATGCCAGCGCAGCCACTGGGGCCTTCGGTGGAGCTCCCTATGGAGCCACGAAACGTGTGAGGGGTGTGCCGAAATGGGGGGTGGAACCGCATGCGAGCGCAGCCACTGCGGCGTTCGGTGGAGCTCCCTATGGGGCCACGAGACGTGTGAAGGGCGTGCCGAAAAAAGGGGGTGGAACCGCATGCGAGCGCAGCCACTGGGGCCTTCGGTGGAGCTCCCTATGGGGCCACGAAACGTGTGAGGGGTGTGCCGAAATGGTGGGCGGAACCGCATGCGGGCGCAGCCACTGGGGCCTTCGGTGGAGCTCCCTATGGAGCCACCCACGAAGCGTGTGAGGGGTGTGCCGAAATGGGGGGTGGAACCGCATGCGGGCGCAGCCACTGGGGCCTTCGGTGGAGCTCCCTATGGGGCCACGAAACGTGTGAGGGGTGTGCCAGAATGGGGGGTGGAACCGCATGCGGGCGCAGCCACTGGGGCCTTCGGTGGAGCTCCCTATGGGGCCACGAAACGTGTGAGGGGTGTGCCAGAATGGGGGTGGAACCGCATGCGGGCGCAGCCACTGGGGCCTTCGGTGGAGCTCCCTATGGGGCCACCTGGTAACCGCCACGAAACGCGCCAAGAAAGGGGGGTGGAACCGCATGCGGGCGCAGCCACTGGGGCCTTCGGTGGAGCTCCCTATGGGGCCACGAAGCGTGTGAGGGGTGTGCCAGAATGGTGGGCGCATGCGGGCGCAGCCACTGGGGCCTTCGGTGGAGCTCCCTATGGGGCCACGAAACGTGTGAGGGGTGTGCCAGAATGGGGGGTGGAACCGCATGCGGGCGCAGCCACTGGGGCCTTCGGTGGAGCTCCCTATGGGGCCACGAAACGTGTGAGGGGTGTGCCGAATTGTGTGTGGGTGACGCATGCAGGCGGCAGCACTGGGGCCTTCGGCGGAGCTCCTATGGGGCCACGAAACGTGTGAGGGGTGTGCCGAATTGGATGTGGGTGACGCATGCGGGCGGCAGCACTGGGGCCTTCGGTGGAGCTCCCTATGGAGCCACGAAACGTGTGAGGGGTGTGCCGAAATGGGTGTGGGTGACGCATGCGGGCGCGGGCACTGGGGCCTTCGGTGGAGCTCCCTATGGAGCCACGAAACGTGTGAGGGGTGTGCCGAAATGGGTGTGGGTGACGCATGCGGGCGCGGGCACTGGGGCCTTCGGTGGAGCTCCCTATGGAGCCACGAAACGTGTGAGGGGTGTGCCGAAATGGGTGTGGGTGACGCATGCGGGCGCGGGCACTGGGGCCTTCGGTGGAGCTCCCTATGGAGCCACGAAACGTGTGAGGGGTGTGCCGAAATGGGTGTGGGTGACGCATGCGGGCGCGGGCACTGGGGCCTTCGGTGGAGCTCCCTATGGAGCCACGAAACGTGTGAGGGGTGTGCCGAAATGGGTGTGGGTGACGCATGCGGGCGCGGGCACTGGGGCCTTCGGTGGAGCTCCCTATGGAGCCACGAAACGGTGTACTGGGTGGGTGAAGAGGAGAGGAGGAGAGGGGAGGAGGGGAGGAGGAGGAGGAGGGAGGAGGAGGGAGAGGAGAGGAGAGAGAGAGAGGAGAGGAGAGGAGAGGCGGGGCACGTCTCTTCAAAACGAGGACCCAACACCACAGGATGGTGGGGAAAAAACCCTAAGAAGCTTCCAAGAAGCTCCGAAGAGACTCCCAGGAGGCCCCACAACGACTGGACTGAACGTGCTCTGAAACACCCTGCAGAATTTTCTGCGGAGGCGATAATGCAACGTACCCAATGTATCCAATGATTGCATAATTGCCAAATATTGCATTGTGTTACATTATTAATAATGTCTCCCCCCCTAACCCCCCCTCTGGGAGCTGCGCCACAGGAGCGGACCAAAGTGGCCCTCCCCCCTCCCGGGGCTCAAAAACCTACCAAAACCTATGGAA